CTTCCGCCTCTCTCTCTCTCTATGCTACAATTGAACTTAGTGACTATGACTATGAAGTTATGAACAATCGCGTCTCTCTCTCTCTCTCTCTCTCTTCCGCCTAAGACTGTACTTGATTTCCTGTGCAAGTTTTATGACAATCAGAAAAAAAGTCACTGAAGTCATAGTATTTCATCTCTGGTAGTCAACCACAGTCGTGCAACTGCAAATCATCCATGATCCGAGAAATTCTCAAAAATTCTCTATTAACAGTGAATCAGTCATACCTGCCATGAATACAGATAACAAGAGCAAGCCAAAACAAGAAATGCATATTAGTTGGTAAAAATATGAAAAACAAAAGTGTCACACACACAGTTCTCTTCCCTCGCACACAACTCCTCTTTCACTTCAAGTTTTTTGTAGTTTGTCATTGCAACATTATGTTACGTTATCCTATGTCACCACTCCCGTTTTCCTATAACTGTAGGCGTGTATGTCTGTTTGTTGGCTTCTGGGTTGTCTGCTCATGCATCTGCCTTCTGGGCTTTCTAGTTATGCATCTGCCTTCTCGGCTCTCTGCCTGTGAAGAGAACAAAAAAAAGAAAAAATCAAAGGGTAGCTCGACATATTTAGGGTAGCTATTTTTGCTCAATTTCGGGAACTGCTAAAGTTGCCCATTCTGAACGTTGGGTGTGACACTGTGACTCCTACGCACTTACCCTTCCATTAAAAAAAAAAAAAAAAAGAGAAAGAAAATGAAAAACATATGCTTTGTTTTTCAGGCTTGGCCAAATTCAAATTTAGCCTCGTACATTTAGCCTTTGGTGTAATGGTGGTTTAAACCACCTCTACCGCCGATCTTGTTTTTACCGACCCTAAATTTCATTGCGCACCGAGTTTTGTCGAGCCTGGGTCCCATTGTGCTTTCTTTTCTGGTACTCTACGGAAATGAAAAAGAAAAAAAAAGAAAAATAAAAAAGCAACATGATTAACGACGCGAAAGCAGCTAGATACAAAATGATTAACGACGCGAAAGCAGCTAGATACAAAATCCGGGGTCCACGTGAGAGTGTGCCCTAGCAACGGGCGTTGCAACCCTCCCGTAATAAGGGCAACACACCCACCATAAAACGAAGAACCAAAAAAAAAAAATGCTCTTTGGACATGGAAGCAGCTGGATACCGAATTGCGGGCACAAGTGATAGTATGCCCTCCAACGGGCTGTTACAGGAGGACAGAAAAGCAGGGGGAAAAAAACAAAACAATCTCTAGTGTCGTGAAAACAACTGGAGATACAATCTTAAGTACATGTGAGAGTGCCACCTTCGTTGCAAAGTGTCAGTTCTCCGTGGATTCCACCCTGCCTTGTTGGCAGGGCGCTATAACTACATCAAAAGGGAAAAAAAAAAAAAAAAAAACAGAATTGCAAAGTATCAGTTGTCCGTGGATTCCGCCATGCCTACATTTTCGAAACCGAAACACCGAAACCACTTCGAGATATAAGCACTCAAAATGCCCACGTAAAACATTGAAATCCCAAAGTACGTTTTCGGTACCGAAACACCGAAACCACTTCGAGATATAAGCACTCAAAATGCCTAAGTAAAACATCGAAATCCCGAAGTGCGTTTTCAGTACCAAAACACCGAAACCACTTAAGGATATAAGCACTCAAAATGCCCAAGTAAAACACCGAAATCTCAAACTGCGTTTTCGGTACCGAAACACCGAAACCACTTGGGGATTTAAGCCTTCAAAATGCCTAAGTAAAACACCGAAATCCCAAAGTGCATTTTCACAATTTTTCGGTACCGAAACACCGAAACCACTTCGGGATGTTAGCACTAAAAATGCCTAAGTAAAACACTGAAATCCCCAAGTGCATTTTCGGTACCGAAACATCGAAACCACTTCGGCATATAAGCACTCAAATTGCCTAAGTAAAACATTGAAATCCCGAAGTGTGTTTTCGGTACCGAAACCACTTTGGGATATAAACACTCAAAATGCCCAAGTAAAACACCGAAATCCCGAAGTGTGTTTTCAGTACCGAAACACCGAAATCAATCCGGGATATAAGCACTCAAAATGCCTAAGTACCACCAAAAACATAGACTGAGAACACTGCTGATTTATGGGATTTGCCGCTGGATTGAATGCCTTGCTGAAATTCACGCATTTTACTGTGGTTTCCAAGTTTGTGTGTGTGTTTGTGCTTGCTGGTTTGCATGCCTGTCTGAGTGCTTGTCGGTTGAGTGTGTGAGTGACCCGCAAGGGTACTTGTTGGTTGAAAGGCCCTGCAGGACCGGTACTTACCTGTGGCCATGACTTTGAGGGTTGCAGCGGGGAAAACACTCAAGTAGCTGCGATAGGCCCGCAACACTTAACAGCAGCGGGGAAAAACACTCAAGTAGCAGGTAGGCCGGTACCACTCCATAGCATTTTTAGTGGTAGGAGTGTCGGGTACTGGAGGCCGAGCAGAAGAAGACAAAAAGTTGGCATTTTTAGAGGCCCAATAACGGTAGGATAGAGGTAGGACGGTACCAGTCCAAGTAGCCTGAGTCTAGGGCCTGTTCGGACGATAGCAGAGCCTGCAATGATGTTTCCCTCTGAAAGGGAGGAGGTACCGGTTGCTGGGAGGCCGCTCGGCCTAGGAAGTCACCGCCCAAGAGGCGAGTAGGCCGCTATATCTTCCGGAGCAACAAGTAGCTCCTCATTTGCGGTATACAAGGATTGGCGACATGCGGCTGAGCCAAGCGCTGGACTGGTACAGCGTTGCATGGAGGTGAAGGGCAGCTGGGCGCTCAGCCTGGTTATGGCGAGCAACCCAGCCTGAGGAGGAGGAAGAAGGGGGCGAAGGAGGAGAGTGGTGAGGTACCTACCTGGCTATGGTGGACACCATCTTCATCACCTTGTTGGGCGCTGCATCTGGAAGGCCCCAATTGGAGTAGTGCCACACCAAGGAAGCTCGAGGCAAAGTCAGGCATGGCGACTTAGTCAGCAGCGACATAGCTGCTTTGGGTTGTCCTTTGGACATGAGTGCAGCGCCATAGCTGCTTTGTGTTGTCCTTTGCACAGAGAAGGGCAGAGCCATCAGTTGTTCGCCATAGCCTAGGCTTGTGAGAGGTGGAAGAAGGGGGGAAGCCATAGCTATGGTGGACGTGTTGTTGTTGTTGTTGTGTCAACAGTAAGAGGGAACTTCGGATATTGATTCTGGTTCATCCACTCATTGTTTTTATTATTATTGGAAGAAAGAATAAGATTGGCGAAGTGAAGGAGGAGGAGGAAGGTGGAGAGAGAAGGGGGATTTGTCATTGGTCTTGCTGGTGTACTTCTTTTTCTTCTTCTTCTTCTTCTTCTTCTTCTTCTTCTTCTTCTTCATCTTCTTTCTCTATCTCTCTTCTTTGGTCTCTATCCCTTTGCAAGTGCTTTCATTTCTTTCGCAATTGTGTGGCATTGTCTTTCATTGTGAATTTGCACTTTGGGAATGACCAGGATCGTAACACTTGGTATCGGAGCGGACTTACTTGGTGGCGAAAGGTGTTAGTCACCCTAAACCTAATTTTGAATTAGGCTAGGGCTAACCTAATCTCGGATTAGGGTTGGAAGTTAGGGTTAAGAGGGGCAGCGAGGTATGAGGATACTGCCCCCACCTGGTTAGGTCATGTAGGGTCGACATCAGACCTGACCAAGTTGCTTGTGTGATTGGATGGGGTGGCGACACAAAGGAGGCTGATTGGAGTAAGCGAGAGGGAGTAGAGGGTGAGAGGCACTCGTACCTGGAATCTGCACTTCAAGAAGACATTGAGTGACTTTTGGGCTTCCCCTCAAGAGGGAGACTTGATCGGAGGCTGCCATATCTGCATCGAAGAGTTGCAAGTTGCTACTTTGGTCTTCAGACATCGACGGGGTATCCGACGTTGTAACAGGGGTGTAGGGAGGCCCTCTTAGTCATGCTACGACACTTCGTGTAGTGGTAGCTATGGGTCAGAAGGACCTATGAGAGAGGGGTGTAGGGAGGCCATCTTTGGAGGCTGGGCCTCACAGGTAAGTGTCGTGTGACCTGGTTATGCCCGTGGAAGGTTGCTTGGTGCTTCATGGCCTGTTGGGGTGTGCTGGGCTCTCTTCCTCTTCTCTGCGGTCTTGGTTGTGTGTGTGAGCATGTGGATTGCTTTCTCACCTGATGGATGGATGGATGATGTATCTTGTTCTCAATGACATATCTTTCTACGGCGCATTGTCTTTTCATTTCTGAACGACTGTAGGGGTAAGTTCTTGCTGAAAGTTGTATTTTCCTTTTCAGTACGGTAGGGGCAGTTTGGGACTGACTTGGTACACCTATCTCGTTGGTCTTGGTCCACGACCTACTTGGGACCTTCGGGACTCAGTGGGACCAGGCCCAACGGGACAGGACCTTTAGGACCCAAATCTGTTGTCGTGAACGCAGCTCTTTGCCGTGCTGAATTTGGGGGGACACACGACTAGTAAGGACATTCCTTTCAAGGGGATCTTGACTGGTCTTACTGCATGTTCTCACATACTGCCCCGCGTCTGGCTCGGCGACCATTTGCACCCCTCGAAATCTCCATTGTTGCAGTTAGTTTTCTTCGGCTGACTTATTGTAGTACATGTACCTTGTCAGGTTAGACAAGAGGGGATCTCCAGCTAATATGACCGGGCCCGTTCTATAAGTTAGTCCTCTCTTTCGTTTTTAATTATTTATTTGTTTATCTTTATTTTGTTGCGTGAATGTCATTCTCTAAGTCCAAATGAATTGCCGCTCCGACTAGGAGTTCTACCTTCTAATCTTTGTGATTTACTGTTTTTCTTTTATCTGAACTATCTATGTCCGGTATTGAGACGCGTGCGCATAAAGCGGAAAGAGAGAGAAGGGAGAGAGAAGGTGTTCTTTTTTAGAGTGTGAGGAAGGGTAAGAGGAGTTCGTCCAAAGGTGAGCAAAGTGCGGACCCCTCTTGAGAGAACTACTGACGCCCTATCCTCCAGCATGGCAGATATCACATCCGAGCAATGGAAGGCCATGCTGGACGCAACGGCCGAGAGCGAGAAACCTTTCGTTCAGAAACTTTATGAGGACGCAATGCACAGAGAGAGGGTAGCAGAGGCAGCAACCAAAGCCACAAGTATTGCTGCACAAGTGACCCTCCTTGAGGTTCCAGAATCGAGTGATAACCAGTTCCAAGAGAAGCTCGCTGCTGCCGTAGCAGCCTTGGTTCAACTGCGGACCTTAGAAGATCTCGAGTCTCGTGTGACAACTCTAGAGCAGCGAAACCAAGAGCTGCAGGCTAAGATAGTCAGCCTCAAACAGTCCCAACTGTCTGCCACCCGTCCTCTTAATCCTCGAACTACTGCAGTCCTAGTCTCTCACCCTAACACAATCCTCATGTCAAGAGCAAGTGGAACTATGACGAGCGCAGGAGCTGGTGCCAGCTCCTCAAGCGGCAGCGCCGACAGTTCTGCACTGGTCCTAGTTCCAAATGCAGGAGCATCAACCCAAAACGCCGCAGTTCTTATTGGCGTACAATACAACGGTCCCGTAGTGGACAAGAGGGCGGCCACTCTGTCGTCCAAGTACGACGGGAAGCAGGACATCACCTCTTGGATTAGCTCCATGCGCTCATACTTCGAGGTACTGCGAACACCGCTGGAAGACCGAAGCATGATAAGGGGCACAAATACTGAGCCCGCCGTAGGGAGTTTCATAGAACTCAAGTTGTTACTGTAGGTTATGAGAGAATTGATCTGATTGAGTGGCTGAAAGTAACTCCTGTACGTACTCTTGAGGACCTGTTCATTGCACAGTATCAAAATAAGCAAGCTGCACTCAAGGCAAGGCTAAAGCTTGAGGCCCTCAAGCGCCAAAAGTGGAGGACTTCCATGCAGGCTTTGGAGCAGCACTTGACTGGTCTATTCACCACTCCAAACCTGAGATGGAATGACGTGTCTTGCATGGATGTAGTTATGGGAGTGGCCCCTGAAGGTTATGTCTCCCGGCTAGGACTCAAGGACCATACAACCTGGTGTGAGCTACTAACGGATTAGTCAACCTAGAAGCCAAGGACCTCGCTAGGTGTGCAAAGGCACCCGCTGCAGGTAGAACCTCGCAGTGCAAGCGGTACGGAAGCAGCAACCAGCTTGCCCTGCATGAACATCGGGAAGCTGAGGATCATTCCTATGTGGATGATCTGTCTCGAGATAACGATCTAGAGCCGGATTCCGACGTGGGTTGATCTACATCAGCCCGTAAGTCTGACATGAATACTGAAGAAAAATGCAATGCCTTTAAAAAGACTGCTTCAAGCAAGGGGCCTAACCGTGGTTCGGGTAAGGGAATTATAGCACACCTCCCCAAGAATGCAAAGATCCGTGAGAAACCGGAGGATGCTTCCACCAAGCCGTGGGAAGCCCTCCGCATTAGTCAAAAGAAATCGGAGAGAAGATCCAAACTGCGCGCGTGCTTGCATTGTCAAAAGCCTGGGCACGCTGTGCAAGAATATTATCGTCTGCAGGGAAACAACCAAAGGGCGTAGAAGACTTATCAACACTCTCTACAACAAGGGGAGTTGAACAGTCAGTTGCCGGTCCCTCCAAGGAGCCTGAATCTGATCAACAACCTGCTCTTGAAGCCCGGACCGATGCTGAAACCAAGGCTGACGCAGTCCAAGTACTTTACACTGAGCCTTGGGAGGAGACTAAGGAAGTTGACTTCCACTCTCACCTGGAACATTGGCTGCAGCTCAAGCAGCAACGCCGTGTTCAAGGGAGTGTGGAACTAACCCTCTGTAAGTTGCTCATTAACCGCTGATACATCCGCGTGCTGATTGATAGTGGCTCAAAGACTAACTTCTTTTCTCCTAACGGGATCCGTAAGGCGGGCCTGGGAATGAAGCAAGTGGAATTGCAAAACCCTTGTCAGACTTAGGTAGTCAACCAAGAGGTTGTCACCTCATCACATGCTGTCAAAGGTGTGTGCATCACCTTTGACAAGGATCGCACAGTCACACATGAGCTGAACGTTTACATCCTAGACAAGTGTCCTTTCGACGTGGTCATTGGCTTGGGCTGGTTAAAGGCTCATTGTCTAAGGACCACGTGGGCGGATACTTAGTTCGTGGTGCGTGATGCCAAGGGGAACGAGAGTACCGTTTTATTGGACGAGACGCGCGAGTCCCCTGTGAGGCTGTGACTCTTTTGAGTGCAAACAAATTTTGCAAATCAGTACGCAGGCGCAAGGAAGCTGAGCATGTGCATGTAGCTCTTGTAAAGCCTCTCCAT